TAAATCAGTGCAGAGTCTGCTTCAGTTTCACAAGCAAACCTGGCAGCAGAGCAGTGGCTGAACATTTTCATTACTGTGGAGAGGAAACCTTGTAATAGCGACCTTTTAACAGATATATCACCGCTTGTGTCGGAGGGGTTTTTTCACTGGCCTTGATGTGTTGGAACATTTTTCACGACCCCGCAGCGCCCTGGAGGCAACAAAGCCGAGTGTGTAACAAATCACCGCTGTCACCTGGAAACTGTAAATCCACTTCATTAGTGGTAGAAAAAAAGAAAACCCATCACTGGATTTGACCACGCACCTTAGGACACTTACCCAATGCTCGTTATTTTGCTATTTATTTTATTATTTTATTGGTTCTTTTGCATTTTTGCCTCCTGTTGTTGTTGTTATTATTTTTCTGATTATGAGGTCTGTGGATACTTGCTGGAAACTGTGAATTTACCCGGTGGGGGTTGAATAAAGTATTTAATCTGAATTTAATCTAATCCAAAAAACTGCTGTTTCAATTAAAGAAGGGTTTGTTTGTTTGTTTTACAATTCATGTAACTGTGGAAACAGGAGCAGCAACTTCCTGTTTCTGCCTGTTTTGGCCGGCAACTGTTAAGTCTGGGCCAAAAAAAATTTCTCTGTGAGGAGGGTGTTGGTGGAGGAGGTGGTGCGAGAGGAGGCGAAACGAGAAATATTGAGGAGGTGTGGTGGCGAGAAGAAAGATTGAAAGTGGCCGAGCGAACAAAATAAAGCCTTACTTTCCACCTTGTTTCCAGTCGGGTGGACAACGAGCGAGCGCCGCGCGAAGCAAGGAGCACAAAAAGAGAATGAAGGGGGAGCGGATAGTGCCGGAAGGAAGGAAAATTTCAGAGAGTGAAAACGGGATCAGCACTTTTGGTTCCACTTTGGCCTGCAACACTAAAAGGCCAGAGGAGAGTAAAATGGAGTTTGTTCCAAAAAAGGGACAGTGAAGATGGAGAGAAGCAAAAGAGGGGAGTAGAACCACTTAATGCGGTTTGTTCGTTAAATATATAGAGTGATGTGAGTAGTGTGTAATATGTCACCCCGTTTGTTAATCATGATATTTCAATTTACTATGATATTAACCAAATTAAAGCAGGGATTCCTCATATTCACAGCCTGTGAAAAGCATGTGCATGAGGCGAGGTGCGGAGGGGGGGGGGGGGGGGGGTGTGCTGGATGAATCCAACTCGCAACGTTCATTTGTACCTGATGAAAATATGAGTATTAATGGAGCACTGGGAACAAACCAAGGCTATAAATTGTAAAATGTCTTATTAAAAGTTCAGGGGAATTTACAGTTTGAGCTAAAACATGCAAAAAATAGGTCAGAGAAATGCCCTATTTCTATGATAATCTAAACTTTTTTGCAGTAATAAAATACACTAAAGAAGAACTTGCATGATGTAAGTTTTTGTCATTAGAACCAAATAGCTTGTGGGGGCATATTTTGGTTCAAAAGGGTCTCCGCTGGGTTAATCGCAATCATCGGGGCGTCAAGGAGAAGAGGAAAATGAAAGCCGCCTCAGACAGTTTCAAACATCTCAACCAGGGAAAACTTCTCTGCGGGATGGGGGGGCTCTACACAGCCAAAAAACAACATGAGTGGGATTAAGCCTGGATCCACAAAAACAACCCACACACACACAGCAAGAAGGACTTTAAAAACAATGTCGAGCAGGATGGAAACAAACACGAGGCTGTCTTCGATCTGAGGAATGTTATTTTGACCCCCACATAGACGGAGGAAGAAATCAACTCGTCTGTTGTCTGCGGATTTTGGAAGCGATGAAAGCATCTTTACTTCTCTCGCTCCACGCTAAGCGTCAATTAAAGGTGGTTGTGTTACGAAGGATGGAGGGAGGGAGGGAGGGAGGGAGAGGTGGAAATATTCCCCAGCAAATCCCCCTTTTATGTCAAATTACTCCTTTCCATCGGGTTTTCACTTTAGCTTCTCGCATTTCATTAAAGAAAGGAGAGGAAAATTTGTGCTCGTAACCGAACCCTAAATGAGACAAAAACAAGACTGGTATTACTGGGAGTGTGTGTAGGAAATAAGCGATTTAGCGTAGTGTGTGTGTGTGTGGTGTGTCGTGTGCGCTGTTCAGGACTGAACTGTTGTGTCTGTGTCTGGTGTAAACTGACCTGTCTATATCTAAATTTAATTAACGAGGGGCCGGCTGTGTTCTGTGTTTTTTTCCCCCTCATCCTCTTCCTCCAGCAAACCAGTGGGTCATGTGGACGGATTACCTGCTTGACCCGCGCGGCTCAACACATTTTACTTTTTCAGACATATTCTTTCTTTCTCACACACACACACCACCACACAGCACACACACACACACCATTAACAACCGAGTTACCCTGTGAAGTCTGTGTGTAACTGAACAAGTGCCTGCTTCATGGCTCCCATTTCCCAGGCTGTATACCATTTTCCCCATGCCCCTGTGTGTGTGGGTTTATTTCGGGTTGCCTTTGATGCCTGCACAGGGTTGGCTACGGCGTGTGTTTCGTTGAATCGGACGTGAAAGCACATAACAGGTGAGCGCTGTTAAGTCTTTGTTGCATAGTTATTATATATACTAATATATATATATTATATGCACATACAGGTGTGTTATTTCTAGTGTGTGTGGTTCCACAACGCAGGCTGAGGTGAAAGGCCTTTGTTCCTGCCGCACAGTTCAAGCCTCCTCCCGTCTCTTCTTACATACCTAACAGATATAGGTAAAAAACACCTGGTTGATAATATTAATAATATTCCATTCACAATCACAGAGATAGTAAGATAATTTGTGAATTAAACCACGAGTCAAAACCTCCTAGGTAACAGCGTCTGGCAGCATCGTGGTGGTCCCAATAGAGGATATGCAAATAAAGAGGATATAAAACTGGGTTGCAACAGCAAGGCAATAAGAAGATTGATAATTAATGTCACTGTTGATCAGAGTTTGCTCAGAGAGAGAACCTCAGTATGGAGTTTAAACTGCTATTTTCAGGGTCAGTAATTAAACTTTAAAACATATTTAGCCTAAAAAGATTGAGCTTCATTGTTTTTCTATGTTTTTGGGATTGTTAATTATCTATTCCCTCATTAAAATGTGAATTTATCACATGAAACACGTCATCTGGGATCATTGTTTCACACACAACACTGAACCCCTTCCTTGTTTCACAGTCCCATCTCAAGGTCCACTTCCTTTTAGCGTTTTCCGGAGCCTCAAACATATCACATGGTCCAGCAGTAGATGGATTTGATACGCGAGGCTTAGTGGCTGTTATGACATAATCCAACACCTGTAGGACTTCTCGTCCGTGTTAGTTTAAAAGTTCACGTGTATGATACAGCCGAGAGCTCCGAAAAAAAAAAAAGACAAAGTTGAGCTTGAGTGGATATAGTTTTGTCAAATCATTAATCATTTAGTAATTCACATGTGAAAACATTTTCACTTGTGTGCTTCACAAGGCTAACGGTAGGTCCTACAAGTTACAGCAGCCAAAATTAAATGTTTAGCAGATGGTGATTGTTAGCCAGCTAGCGAGTAGGATGTGGACAAACCAAAACAACAATAATATTTCTGATTCTGCTGTTGAACAAATAACCGAAGCTCAAGAACCATATTGTCTCTGCCTTCACTGAAGCAGCAAGAACAAACAGAAGCTGGTAGTTAATGCTAAAATGTTAGTCACAAGCAGAAGCTGCTATGAATAGATCTCAACTGAAAGGTTTTAGTTCACTTTGGTCTGATTCCAATCATCCTAAAGCCTGTGGACCGTCATCTGGACAAGCTGAAACCAAACCACAGTGTGTGTTTAGCTCAAAGGCAGCTCCTTCTGCAAGGTGTTCAAACAGTAGCCTCAAACACACAAAAAACAGACAATGGTTTCTTATCAAGGACGCGGAAATGTGCAGCGATAATAAAGTCTCCTGTTTGGACATAAACATCAAAGTGGTGAAGCAGGAGAAACAAAAAAGCGGAGAGAGAGAGGGCGGGTCAGGTGTGAATTTATCTGCTCTTGCCATTCAGGTTGAGTCCACACAATGTTGACAAGACCTTGTAATCCTCAATGTAGGAGGAAGTGCTATCATCAAGGATCATTCACACCAGTTGGACCACCTAGGAGGGGGGTCAGCGTTTCTTACACTGTAAAGGCCGAAATAAACAAAACACCTACATGTAGCGGCGACTCACATGACCAAAAAGGCCTCGTTTTTTTTTTAATGAGGCCGTGCTCCAGAGCAAGAAACAATTTACTCCATTCAGGTCCCATGCTCCGAAAGATTCCTCATCCCTTGATCTAATTCATTATGTTCAGAAAAGTAGAACTGATTATAGATGCGCTACAGAAGCGCTCCTTGTCCAGAAGTCCTGATGGATATCAGCCACTGTCTTAAATAACATGTTCTACGAATACGACTGGTTGAACTTAATTCAAACCAAAAAAGAAAGAAAAGAAAGAAAAAGAAGTACATTGAGATAACCAGTTCTCAGACAGTCGGTTTCTTTGTGAAGCCGAGAGACAGGAGTCTTGTTCCCGTGAGACCAGAGTCTAATATTGTCCATTAAGGAAACAGGAAACATAGTGTTTGTCGTCCTTTACATAATCTCCCATAAAGTTTCCCATTTATTCATTTTCCTTCGATGGAGAGAGAGAGAGAGAAGAGCACGAGAAAAAGTCCAACAGGTATGTCGTCTTTAAGGTTTGGTTTAGGCCAAAATCGTCCTCCAACCCGTCACCACAATCACCTTGTTTTCATTAAAGTGAAGCGCGATAGAAACTCCTTGTTTCTGTTCACTGCTTCGCTTTGAATGAATAAAAATTGGGTTGGTTTTCAACCGAATGGAACCAGTTTGTCTTTTCTCCAAAAACACAATTCCATTAAAACAAAGGGGGGGGGGGAAACAGCTCAAAGAAGGCCTCTTTGTCTTTTTATCCGTCTTGTTTGTGGCCTTAAAGTTGTCTGAAAACATCCTCTTTTCTCTCCATCAGTGTCTCTTCTGTTTCCCTCATTTTATCAACCAAGAAAGGGAGGAAACCAGAAAATCTCTCTTTGTCAATCAATTCTGCTTGCAGTTCGATAGTTTTTTCTGTTTTTATTTTGAGGGTCAGCACCCGGGCCGCGTACATCTGACATGAAGTCGAACTCGTTCTGACCCCAACCACAGCTCGGGCAGCTCGTTGGCTCGGGTCCAAAACCGAGCTCCCACCCAAGCGACATGAGAACCTCCTCGTCCACGGGGTCAAAGTCGATAATTCCACCTGCACCGGAGCTTTGGTTCCCCATGCTGATGCCAACGCTCATACCGCCTCCACCGAGGCCACCAGAAGGCCCCAGAAGCTGGTTTCCGGCACCCAGAGGCGAGGCACCGAAGCCCCTTTGCGCACCGCCAGGCGCCTGGTGTCCGGCAGAGGCGCCTGCGAGGTTCTGGTAGTGCGAGTTGAGCTTCTGCAGCTGCATGCTGGCGATGAGGTGCGGCCCCGTCTGGAGGCAGAAGGGCTGAGGTTTGGAGAGCGGTGCCGACGACAGCGATGACCCGGGTGAGGAGGCGGCACCGACGGACGGGGAGAACGGCGTGACGGAGGTTTTGGACGAAGGGTAGTGGAGCAGGGAGCTGAGAGGAGAGGAGGAGGAGGAGAGGTCCTTCATCGCAGCGTGGGCGTTGCCAGGGAACAGCAGTGAGGTCATCACCAGTAAAACCCAGAGCCTGAAGGTAGAAACGGAAGAGCTCGTTAGCTAAGATAGCCTGGATACCGTGAAAGACTTCACAATAAGACGTAATACACAATGTCACGCATAAAATTCACACCTCTTTATATGACAGATAGTGTAAAGCTTCAATTAAAAGCAGGTCTTCTTTTAATAGCCTGGTGCGGCTGCAGGTTTTCACAAATAAAAGCAGGTCTCAATTAGAGGCCTGGTCTTGATTATAGGAGTTCTTTGGATGTATGAAATCTCTTAAAGCTTGATCAAGTTCGCCTGCACTATAAATGTTGCTCCAATCTTTGCTGAGCAAGAGTTTTGTGAGAAGGAATTAAAGGCCTGTCCCAAATAAAGGCAGGTAGAGTTTAGTGATTGAAGTAAATAAAAGCATGAGCTATTAAGTTTTACAGTAATCACAGTAAAAATAAACAACACACAGTTTAAACCAGAAGCTTGCAGAAAACTAGAAATCCCAGCAAAAAGATTGTAATTTATTTTGAAAATCTATATGTAATTTTAGTATTTGGATAAACTCTTTAAAAGAAATAATTTTTGGGAAACATGTTTTTCACTTTCTTGCCAAGAGTTGGATGAGAAGATTGACACCGCTCTCATGCCTATTTCCTAAATATGAAAGTTGAGTCGGTGGGTGATTAGCTTAGCTTAGCATAAAGACAGGAAGCAGCCAGAACAGTTAGCCTGGCTCCGTCCAAAGTAAAAAACAAAAAAAACTGTCAACCAGAAAATAAATGAATTGTAAAAGAAAAAGAGAGAAACAAGGCTAGCTGCTTCCCTCTGCTTCCAGTCTTTATGCTAAGTTAGGCTAATCATCTGATTGCAGCTTCATATTTAACGGATATGAGACTGGAATATAGTGCAGCTCCAGCTACAAACCTCACACACAGCGAATCCATTAATGAATCAGATTTTTTTTTGTTTTTTTTTGTTTGCACCCGTCGTTATGGCAACAGCAGTGATGCAGGAGCCGCATGAGGAGTTACTGTGAGTGTAATATTTGTTTAATATCTCCGTTGTTTGGTAGCAGGGGACTTTTCCTGCCAATCTGCGCTCGGTTGCTGGGTTACATCGAAATTGTCCGGACTTGATCAAAGAATGTTTCACAATAAAAGTCTTCAGCGAGCATTTTTTTACAGGACAGAACATGACAGACAGAATGATAGAAGCTCTATACCTGGAGGGATAACGCTGCGTTTTAATTAAATATTAATGCCACGACATTTTGGGAAATACGCTGATTCACTTTCTTGCACTTTTGTATCTGTATGTTATGAGGCAAGAGCAAGGAGGCGATTAGCTTAGCTTAACATAAATAGTGTAAACAGCTAATGGATAAACTCTTGTTTAACAGTAAAAAACTAATTATCTTTGACACATACAGTACTTTGTGTAAAGATTAAACAAATAAGGTAAAATGTGTTAATCAGTGAGCTTTAAAGGTGTCGGTGGGCCATTTTTGCCATAATTTTGGAGAGAGCCAGGCTAGCTTAGCATTGTTGCAGACATCTGAATTGTTGCCCACATATTCAAAAAATTCAAGTAGGTCTGGTGCTCACTGACTGCTGCTACCTCCAGTGAGAGAAACAATCAACAAATACAGATTTTTAGGCACAATTTAGACTTGCAACATCACCTTCTAAGCTAGATAACTGACCACAAAGCTTCATGTTTGAAAAATAGCAACAGGAAAATGTCACCAAGCGTGTCTGAGATCAATGCAGCTTTAATGTGCAGCTTACAGAAATAACAACTCTTAAAATGTCGACTTTTATCGACATAAATAACGTTGAGCTTACTGCTCATAGCAACCACTAACGCAGCTTCCATATTGGCTAAAAATAACGTCTGTCACTACTGATCAGTGGAGGCAAAATAAAATAACGTCCCTTAATCTCTGAATGTGAAACAAAATGTACGTTCAGTTTG